GAAGATGGAAAAGCAAGTTTATCGCATAAATAAATTCACATTTCGAATTTTTCATTTTTAGAAGTAAGAATTATTTGAAAATGTGGAAACTACGTACTGAAGAAGAGCGTTGAAGTCGCTGTTTGATCGACTAAAAAGTTTCTTGTAATGCAAATTATTAATATAAGTGGAGAGTTATGATAACTAGAGAATTTTTTGATTATTTGCACCCGCTTGAAAAGTTTATTTCATTAGAAATAAAACTGCTGACGAAATCTAGTCAATTTGCCAATTTTGGTCAATTATGGAACCTTTTTTCAGATAATATTGTAATCAAATTTTTACGAATATATTTGTTCTTCAGTTCTGAATATTATATTAAAAATTCATTTTATAATTGATTTGCTACGTGTACTATAAAAATTGTTACATTCACGGTCTAGGGGACTTTTTAAACTCGACGTAAGAAATTATTATAAAAGGATCAAAACAAGGTTTTTCTAAGTAACAAACGATGGAAAAATGAATTATTATTACATATACTATTACCACTTATTCTCAGTCATCGTTTGTTTTAATACTTTGAACTTAAATGACGAATATAAGGCAATAACTACAATACATTAGGAGTAATTGCACACGAAGTATTGAAACGAAATACACCCGATTTTCTTTATTTTAACATAAATTGTATTACCGAGTTTAGTAATATAAGAAAAGCTTCGAATTGTTACATCTTTATAACGAGAAATTTTCGAGTGCTAGGATTAAAAGACTTAAATCAGAAAAAAGAAAAGAGAAACTAAAGGTAACATTATAGTACTGAATGTCTCATTCAAAATACCAAATTTTCGTGCAACAAATGTTTTATCAGTTATTTTCTGAGTGACTTTAAGCCCAAGACTATTTGTACGACACAAAGATAACAATTATTTGCATACTTTCGTGGTTTCTTGAAGACTACCTTGACGAAACATCAGCTTCTAAAAAGAAAAGACAGTTTTACCCTGAACGCCAATGAAAGAGTATAATCTGATCATTGGGTTTGTAGGGTTTATGGCACTGATGTTGGACGTGGTTATTTTTGAAATAATGGAAGCTATGGATACAGGGGACCGATGAAGTCAGAGACTAAGAAGACTCCTCTGGACGCAGAAAATCTGCATTTCTACGAGCCACGTAAACTACTGGAACCTAATGTCTGTAGTCTCAATGGGAATAGAAGTATAATAAACCCTTAACACAGAATACCGAGCCGTGAACACGGGTATTGCTTCCTACTGAGCCTAGTCCCTCTATTGACCCACGCCATCACTGTCCTAACCCTTTAGCTGCCAAGGTGGGCGGGATGCTTGGGGTCCTGAGACTACCTAAGTCAAGGTGACTATCGATTCACTATCGATTCACAGTCGTATCACTGGCTGCTTTTATGAATTGTGTATAAAACGATACAGCTATAGATCAAAAGAAATCGTCTAAAAGTAGAACCTCGATTATCTGGACCAATCTTGATACATAATCGTTTGAATAATTATATGTATTTTTCTAGTGATCGAATAGCACTATTTTCATACAAAGAATGATCGTCTATTTTAAAATATTCCATGTACTATGAATGTTAAATGAAAATAGCAAATTTTTCTTTTGCATCAAAAAATGTAGAAATGTATAATTATAATACTTATGTTGAAAATTAATTGAAATTTGTTTTAATTATATTTGTGGCAATCAGTGGCAGACATTAATCTTTGGAAAAAAAGGTTCTTGATAAATTATTAACAATTTTTGCAAATAATTGCATATAATTATAATTTCATGCAAAAGTATACCTATTTTCATTTTTGCCTGCTACGTTCGTTTAATTCTGATTTTAGTCTTGCTACTAGTCTTTCTATTTCATATATATAAATGTGTATGCATTACCAACAGAAAGTTTGGAAGCAGTATAGTTTCCAAATGATAATCTAGGAAGAAAGAAATAAGTAAAATGTTTTTAATTCCAGTAAATGAATTAAATTAATTAATTTTGATGTAAATGATAATTTATGATTCATTTTGAAAAATATGTAATTAGAGTGACGAATAATACAATGAGTTCAATTGTACTTTTGAATTATTGTACTTTTCAAAAGTAATACATTTTGGGAGAGAAAAGATGTAGCTATTTGAAAAATAGCAAATTATTTCGATTTACTAAAAGATACATGATAATGTATAATATAATGTGACAAAATGTCTATAGTATTGTCTATTTTATTATTGCATTTATACTTACAAAAATTGATTCAAAAAGGAAATTGTGAATATTAATGATTGCTATTGTAAAATACCAAATTTTGATTATTGTTGTAAAATATCTAATAAATTACTATTTTATATTATTATACCAATTTTATAATATTGTTTTAATAAATTATTTTATATCGTTGTTCTAATTTTTGTTTTAGTTTATTCTCGCGTAATTTACATCGTAAAAGGGAATGTAAAAGGTATCGAAAAATGCTAGTACTTCCAAACTTTTCGTCGATAGTGTACTACATATGCATTTATACGAGATACTATGTAACTCGTGGTGCAGCTAGCAGAAAAATGACTTCACGAAAAAGAGCAAGTGGAGAACGTAAAATACAATTTTTCTACATCATTTTCGTTCTCGAGAAAATTGAATTTGGAAGCGTGTAATCGAATGCATCGCATTCATCTGCATATCGAACTTTTACTTGCAATGTATACACAATATTGTACATATTTATTATAAACCAACTTTTTTATTTGTAAATTCGCTTAACATTTTTCATTAATATTTATAAACTTTGTATATTCTTTATTTCAATAATTCTTCTGTAACTTTTATTTTTGTAAAATTTTTAGGTGTACTTCATCGTATTTTGGAACGATTATATTTAAGCTACGATATTTATTTTGACGATTTATTTGATCAATTTTTCAATATAAATAAATTCAAGCAAAGTTACTGTGACTATAGTAGGATTCACCTAATAGCAATCAATATACCTAGAAATGTAGTGGCAACACTGGACTATATTAGAGCTTATGTTAGTGATCTAAGTAAGGATATTATTAATTGTAATAAAATTAGAATAAAGTCTAAGTGAAATCAATTGGTGATGTCTATAACGATGACAATATAAACAGAAATAATATTTTATAGTTATAGTGAATATTATGGTGATGGTGATATATCACACTGAAGACTATATGCTAAAAGGTTATTTACTTTACTATATACATACAAGTTTTACTGTACTCCAAAAATTAAATGTATTTCATAAGAGTAAGATCAAAATCTGACTTATTAATGATTTTGACACCTTGAAAGGTAATATCAAATAAATTAAACACAACTATACATAACTATACATATATAAAATTTCTACTGACATGAAGATGTGGAATTCAAGTGAGAGTATGTGACTAATTTCTTTCAAATTTTCTATTTATATACAATATAATTATAATTATTGAAACGAAATTGTAGTTTCGAAAATTTATTTTCATTTTATTAAATTTTTAACTAATGAGCTATTATTTAGCTATCATTGAGCAAATATAGTTTATTAAATATTTATTGAACATGAGATGAATTTCTATAACTGGAGATCTATTGTATGTCTATGATGTAACATTCATAAATAAACTATTCTAAAATTTATGATAATATAAAAATTTATTTTCATTTTATTAAATTTCTATCTATTATGCTATTATTTAGCTATCATTGAGCAAATATAGTTTATTAAATATTTATTGAACATGAGACGAATTTATATAACTCGAAATCTATATGAATACGTGTCTATGATGTAACATTCATAAATAAACTATTCCAAAATTTATGATAATGTAAAAATTTATTTTCATTTTATTAAATTTTTACCTATTGTGCTATTATTTAGCTATTCTTCAGCAAATATAGTTTATTAAATATTTATTGAACATGAGACGAATTTATATAGCTGGAGAACTATTGTATGTCCATAATGTAACATTCATAAATAAACTATTCCAAAATTTATGACGATATAAAATATAAAAATTCAAGGAATATCAATGCTCATACATGAGTAACTCAATAAGAATAATTAAATAAATCTGTTGTTTGATCGTTTTCAATATTTATATTTTTTCTTTGTATTAATAAAGGACTGACAAGAAGTTCAAGTTGAACCCTCTACAACCAGAACTCTTAGATGGGTCATTAAAGAAAAAGATCATAATTGATCTGAAAAATGATAATTACTATAAGATAATTATTGAATTCTAATTCAATGGTGTATTCATAGAAAATAATTCTACAGTGATAGAAAAATGGAATAAAATTTAAAGAACAGGCATATGGATATGTAACTTTCAAGTAACATAACGTTCAAAACAGTGGTTCTCAACCTCTCTAGTACAATATGAATTAATACATTATACGTAATTTTCAAATTTGATAAAATTGAAATCCAGTCCACGTACTATCTGAAAATATTCAACATATCATCAGTAATCATATCATCATATCACAAGTTGGGAACCGCTGTTATTAGTATTACTTTGATCTTCTTTCTACTAACATTGGAAAAAATCTTCTTCGATAAGGTTTCAGAATTTGCAATATTAAATCCCAAGCCTATTTAATAAAAAGTAACAAGGCTAGTCATAATGCTTTAACACTATGACGTGTAATACCTATATTATACTAGAAATTTAATTACAATGCTATTAATTTTGATTCAAATAGTAAATCGCATAAAAAGAATTTCTTGATCGGTAATTTATCAAAATCTCTCGGATCTATCCCGAAAGTAAAGAATGGAACCCTAAATAAAATAGGGTTCCACGAATTATATTTCACGAAGATAAAAATATTTGGCAAGTTTAGACACGGGAATAATTACTTATGGTATCGCGAATGACAAAGTGCTTCAATGTCGTCTGAGGGTTCACGCCATTTACTGCTCTGATAAGACTATATCTGGCATCTTTCGTTAGGGGATTTCTTTGTGCGAATTTACCTGGACGTCGCTGCTCGCGTAGTCTCCACTTTCTCGAGAAGCTCTCGAGTGCGTAAGTGGTATGATAGCTGGTGGATTATTGTGACCTTGTGGCACAATAAGTCCTCGCATTGTCGAAGTTGCACCTTTCCTGGAACGATCTCGTGGGAGACTGATGTCTCCGGCAGTTCGAAGAGAAATAATCCCCTCGCTTCTATTTTCTGGCCTCAGATTTAGCGTGAAACATACTCTGCAATGAAACACGTTCCTCGAGTCATTAAACGATTCGGTATGTGAGTAATTTAAATGTAATTTTCACAGGACTATGGTTAAAATCTAATTTTTTAATTGTAATTTATTTGATTGCAATATTTTGGTACTTCGTGGATTATCGAATGTTTAATTTATTATTTGTAATTTAATTTTCTCATTTAATTTGTTATTTGTTATTTATTATTTGTCATTTAATTTATTATTTATTTTTAGTCGTTGATATTTTTATTTATTAATTATTCAAATGTAAATTATTATTTATTATTACGTATTTACTTATTAAATATTGATAATTGTATGTAAATAGCAGTGTCAAGTATGAATAATAATTTAATAATTATTGAATACGTGTTATTATTAATATTAATATTCCTCGAGGGATCACAGTTTAACCTTTTGCACTCGGTGATTTTACAGGAAGATAGCAATTCGAAGACTTTCTGCCATAAAGTTGACGATATTTTTAAAACGGTAGATAAGAAATCGTAAACAAATTAGGACGTAGAATTAATTTATTTCGATACTCCACGCATCATTAGGTAATTTTAAATTTGATATGTTAATTAACATTGATCTTTAGAATCTGATTAAATGGCGACTGAGAGTTGCCTCTCGAGTGCAAAAGGTTAATCATAATCCTATAATTTCAGTTTATTTGATTGAAATATTTTAATATTTTCTGAATTATCGAATGTTTGGTTTATCATTATATGTTAATAATGAAGTGTAAATAATTAAATATTAAATAGTAATAATTTAACATCGATATTTAATAATGCAATATTGATGTAATGATAAAGGTGGGAAGTTTAAAATTTTTACTTTCGTTAAAAGCTGTATTACATTTGGACAGAAAATATAGAGCTAATTAAGGAACAAATATGGAAAATATTATCCTTATATTCCCCAACTTTATATTCCATATTTATATCATAAGATAATATACAATATTATTATTACGAGGAAATTAAAACTGCAATTTAAAATGCTGATAAAAATTCGTATCAAAATATTCAATATCACTAAACATTCTCTAAATATGTCTTACAAGCTTGAATCATTTTTATTTGTTATATTACAAAACCTTAATGCCGATACAATTTTTAAATTTTATATATTTTATTATATGAGTTACTTAAATGCCAAACTGACCTATTTTTATTGAAATTCATATAATTTTTACAAAATTTATATAATTTATGTAATTTTATTGAAATTTATATAATTTATATAATTTTATTGAAATTTATATAATTTATATAATTTTATTGAAATTTATATAATTTCCTACAAAACAAAATTAACAAATTATCAGTATAATAGTGAAATATATTACAGAAAGAAAAAGGAAAAGAAAGATAGAAGAAACGATACTAAATAGGAAACGGCGACGTTCTATTTGGGCCTCCTTTTATTAGACTCATGAATGGATAAATTGATGGATGAAAGTGGAGTAAATTATGGATAAAGGGACTTATGAATGAAAGCATTCATAGGTAAAAAGATTCACAGATAAAAGAACTCACAGGTAAAGAGGCCCATGGAAAAAGGGACTCATGAGCTTCATATATAAAGGAACTCATGGGTGAAAAACCTGCCTCTCGAGTGAAGAGTCTCTTAGAAAAGGAGACTCACAAACAAAGGAACTCATATATACATAGATTCCGTCGTTATGGAATTCATTTTGGGACTCATGGGTATAGGGAAACATAGATAAATGAATTCATCGCTATAGAATTTATTCTGAGACTTACAAGTATAGGGACTCTCGGGAAATGGGACTCATAGCTAAAGGGACTCATAGATCATTGGTTTCTTCGCTATGGAATACGTTCTAGGACTCATGGATATTCATGTGCAAATAACCTCTTGGATAAAGGGACTCTTAAGAAAAGGGACTCATAGATAAATGATCTCGTCGTTATGGAATTCCTTCTAAAAGTCCCACAAGTTAAAAATGGAATACGTTTGAATCAGAAACAGTGTTTGCTATAAGTGGATTCAGTGAGGTTTTTCGAGAAACGTATATCTCGGTGAGTGTCCCTCTGGTGGCGAATATGGAAAGTTTGTGACGTGAGAAAATAGGGTTCAACTTTTAAAAGGCTCACGTGTGGATAAACATATTTTTGTTGTATTTACCTTCCATTTTGAATAGTTGCAGTTGGCACAGGCCCTCCGCTTGCTCCCATAAGGAAATCCTCAGGATCTGATTCATATGGAGGTTCGTCATACCAGTGTTGACCACCGGGACCCAAACCTAATCCACCTCCGCAACGTGCATCTTCGTCGTACATATAAGTGTCATCTGGACATTAAAAAGAGAGGTTAATCAGAGACAATTTAACTACAATACTTTTATTTATATTTAAAGCACAAACATTTGATTTTGTTTGTATAGAAAATTAACCTTCCCACTTTCTTTTTTAATTTTAAAGGTTAGACTCCTCGTGCATTTAATTCTTAATAAAAGATAAAGAAAATTAATTTTGTAGTTTCATTGAAAATTTAACGAAAATTTAATTTAACATTTTCTTTATACAAAATAAAGTTGGAAGTAATATTAACGAGTATTCGACTTAACGATATTTCAATGATATTATTATTGATGTATCATGAAATATCAATAAAATATCAACAATCGATAATTATATACTCACCACACAACCTAAAAAAGTTTAAGAACCACTGCTCTAAAAACTCATTCCTGGATCTCAAATTGTAACCCTATTTTTATTTATATACAGTCTAAACCTTACATAGCACAACTTTTATAGCGTACAATTTTTCTGGAATTTATTATTCACCGTATACAAAAATAGTCATCAATACATACACAAATTATGTAATATATAAAAGAAAAAATAAACGAAGAAATAACCTGCCAAAAATCAAAATTGTGAGAGGAATCTTTACTTTTGATTTCTGATTTGTTGCTGTTACCCTGCATCGGGATCTATTTTTACTTCGAGGAAAATTGATAAGCTGAATGGTTCCTCAAAGTTAAACTGAATGACGCAATGGGCTGGTATCATAGAGCCCATGGGGCTTTTACTGAAAGGTTCAAAGGATTATTTTTCCGAAGTCCACCGTGCAGCACCGTTTATACCGTTAAGAAATTTAAAATATAATTAAGAGTAGAAGTTCTTGTTGAGATTTATTAACCCGATCCCACCACGAAATAAATTCCATTCGCGATCAAAGAGCAAATTCCAAGAAGCGATACGAAATGTCTACCGAAACCAATCCCACTTCCCCACCACTCGACTGCACGGTTCCCCCACTACTCGACCGCACGGTTCCCCCACTACTCGACCGCACGGTTCCCCCACCCGCGGCTCGCTCAGACCCATTCTCGCGATAGGAAAGTTCGATCGCCGTCGCATTAAACGCTTTTTATTCTTCCGCCAGGAGAAACGGGGCATGATAAAATCCTTGGGAGAGAAACAGCAAGCTGTTACCTTTGGCAAAGTGTAGCACCGCGCTAATGCGTGGTAATTCGAGACGCGAGAAGACCTCGAGTGCCGCTGGTGCGAAAGACCGAGCGAAATCAAGCGTCTGAGGATCGTGCACGTGCGTGTGGGCACGGGAAAAAACGAGGAAGGGGATCGGGAAAGCGAGCCCGCGGAGAAAGCAGTCGACGGTTGTTGACGATAACGAGATTAGCCAGCACACAGGAGGGGCTTCTGGCCCGGCACCATTGCCTTCGTCGACGACGCGATTGCAAATAAAACTGCCGAGTCAGTGATAAATCGGTAATACGAAATTTAAAGGATGTCCGAAACATTACTCCTGGTATTTCGTTCGATCCTCTTTACGGCAGATATATGCCGTTCAGCCAATCGTTTCTCCTATCCCTCGTAATTGAACGAACGGTTTAATAAGTTTTCGTTTGCGAGATGCTTGGTATTTATTGTTTTCCTTTCTTGGAAACGTTGTAAAGGATGTTTGATTATTTGGTGGTTATTAAGCGACTGATTTTGAGGTTAGGAAGGTTAATAGCTTGGAAGAGGAATATAAAGGTTGTGCCTTGATTTTTGATTTTTAGAGTGGATAATAATATTTATTTTAGATGCTGAGGTAGGAAGATAGTGTAGTTTTTTTAATTTTATTTTACATTATTTTCTACTATTATTTCATTTTATTTCTGTAACCTTGAGCATTGAGAAAATTAAGCCAGTTTTGCCTTTGTTTAAAGATTTTTTAAAACGTATTTATATTTTTATACCTAAAATGTGACTGTTTATTTGTGATATAGGGTGACTGATATAGACAAATTAGGTATTTGGGATAATTAATAATTTTTATTTCAGGTGTTAACGAAGTTAGCGTAATCGTACTTTATTTTATTTTTTTTTACTTAAATTGTAAGATCTGTTTGCTAATTTTTGGATATGAATCGCTTTTCACTTACTTTTGCCCATTACTTGATGTATTTATCTCTATTTTATGTTGAATGCTGTTGAAAATAAGACATGTCTTAACGTATTTACGAAAATCAATCTATCAGGAGAAACAAATGTATCTTTAAACTATGCACCGAAGAGGTTCCGGGAACACGTGAAGTGTTTATTTCACACGTTAGATAAGAATTAGGGGACTAGGACGAGCTGCAATCGCATACCCTTTTTCTTCACTATAGTGTTGACTCTCTACGTGAACAATCAGAATACTTGAGATATACCTTCCTTAGGATAGAATAAAGATAATTATAAAATACAGATAGTTATCTCTTTTTACCTATAATCCCAATAGATGCCTACTATACTATATTCTTTTCTATTTCTTTGTTTGTGAGAGGAGTCTTTATTTGGATGGTGTCATCCTGCATCGGGATCTATGTTTGCTTCGAGGAACCATCAACCTTATCAATTTTCGAAGCAGGACTGAGTGACGCAAAGGGTCATCATAGAACCTATAAAAACCTGGCTGAAGGGGTCTGTTCCGTCCCGGAGAGCGTGTTTATAACATGATTTTTATTCTAAGGCTTACACTTTTAACAGACCTAACGGTTTACAATATATTTTATATCGCGACTGCAATTCCGGAGGATAGATGTGGCTCACTGCCGTTCTAGCGGATTAAGTTGTAAAGGTAAAGGTGAAAGTTTAGGAATTTTTACACGTACCAGACTCGACAGATGGGACCCACGTGTGACAGACCCAACAAGCGACGGACGGACACCACTTATAAATCACGTCATTGCCCATCAAAAATCGGCTTCTTGACAGTTTCCTACTCCTCAGCCAAAGGTCCTTCCGTCACACCCTCTGTCCAATTAAAACTCCTTACTTTTCCACCACCAACGTTAATTTTGCCCAATCAGAACTAAACTGGAGAAAACAACGGACAGGACACGACGAGACACGACATAGATCAAATTCGAGAAATCAGTTCGTCTTCGACACCGATCCTTGAAACATCTTACTTACGCGTATAAACGCGTGTTCGAAACGGTACTCCGTTCAACGTCTCCATTATAACTATTCTATACTTCCTATAAATAAACGCTCTCTTTTATCAACACACACTTCGGGATCCTTATTATTACAACTAGTCACGTAATGTTAATTTGACGCGTGATAAGCATTCTAGGACAATCTAGGTATACGATAAACAGAACGCTACAATAGCCAAAGTTAAAAATTCAATTTTATAAATCCGATCCTTACTACATCCTTCATAATGGAAATCTACAAACAGAAACATCGCAAACTAAAGTACATACTTGAAAAGGGACACAAATCCTGATAACAAATAATTATAAGGAAAAAATTTTGAATACGTTTGCTATTGTTCAATCAGACTCTAATTATTGCTATAAAAAGCAAGAACTATTGGATTTGATCTTTATTCAGTATTCGTATGTATGCAATAATGCATAAACATTAGCGGTCTGCGAAACGTCCTATAGTAGTTGCGTAAGTTTCAACGTCTATAGTAGTTAGGGGGTTAAATACACCAGAGACGTTGTTAAGAACACGTGCTGGGTCGCGATGAGGTCGCTGCAGGACAATGCAGCTTTTGAGGGAAGTCATTAGGGGGGGCCGAGATATTGTGTATTTTTAAGGAGACTTTAGCTTGGCTGGAATGCAACGGCGATTATGAAAACCAGGACTTCAGCCATGTCAATCTCACCGGTAATCGACATCACCTCAGAGGCTCGTGAAAGTTGGACTGCGACTCGATTTTCTAAGACAAAGGATTCTTTGTGTGCAGCAATTTTTCTTGAGCTTGGAGAATGTTGCACAATTGAATGTCAGAATTGCAATACGATTGGATTATCTCATACCCCACAAACGATTGGAGAAAGTCCCAGAATTATCTTGGTAGGAGGACTCGAACATTTAAATAGTTCCCAATCATTTTAACACTAGATTTACGGAACCCGTCAATTTGACGGAAGGGTTGATCCAATTATACGATGGTAACAGATTTCGTTAACTTATATTAAGACTGTTAATATAATATATAATTGTTTTTAAATTAAACTGATCGTTAAAAAAAAGGCACGTAGTTTCTTTCACCTGTCAATTTGACAGGTGTCCTTAGAAATAGGTATACAGATAGCGTCTGTAAACCTAGTGTTAAGGAATCAAGTTATTAGAATTGTGAGTTTATAATTCTAAAATAATTACGATATATATAATTTTCTTTTAAATTTTGTTATTACTCGAGGAAGGTGTATCTATCGTTGAGTGCTTCTCTAGAGCGACTGACCAAAAAAAAAAAGAGTGTCAAGAGGGTACATGACGCAGATCGCATAATCTTCCAATTCTTATCTAAAGTTTATATAAACATTCGTTCTCGGAATTTAGGTCTTATAAACTATTTATTCACACCTTATATCCTAGATTGATTTTTGTATACCACTAAACTTATCTTTTCAACACAAATCATTTTGGACCACTCAGTGATTTCGATTCTATCTATAAGTTTCGTTAAAATAAATAAATGTACTTTATCTGACATAAAAATAGCTGCACGAACTGGCTTAGAGGTAATACATTTGAGATTCAAGTGACAAGGTTAGGTGAAATACCCTGTAGACAGGGACATCATTGTTAATGGTGGATGAAATAATAACAGTATTTATTTAACAGTTTAATAACAGAACAAAAATTATAATTGAATTAGTTAAAATAGACTCGCTTCTCTCTGCCATATAATCTTTACACGACTCTCTTACACACAACGTCTTTTTCTATTGACTGTCCTCCAAGCACTAACTGTTTTTCACGACTCTTAGTCATACTCGATACACACATATATTCTTCCACACAAACATTCTTCACACTTATACCAAACATATATACTTAAAAATCTATGTAACCACTACCACAATTCTAACTGACGTGCACCTAGATGAACAAAATATTATTATTAAAATTTATCTTTACGATTTCCTGACCCTCACAAATGATAATTTATGAAGGTTATATAAATGTTATATATAAAGTGTCCTATGCTTTTGGCGAGAAACGTTGTCAATATATTTTATGGCACTACATGAGACAAAAATGTCATATAAATTCGTCCATTAATTAATTACATGGATATTTCTAATATCAATACTTTCACTCCTATCTGTCTATTACCAATCTATCAAGAAAATACGATTAATGTATTAAAACACCATGTGCTACAATTTTATAAAGACTTATTTTTCAATTATATCGATATTTCATAGAAAAACAAAAAATTGAGTTTATCAATTTAACGTTCTACAACAAAAACTAGATTATTCCTCTCAATCTCGAACCGTAATCTAAAATTTAGTGACAAAATTGGAAACGTTGTGCCAACATAACCTATTAATGCAACAATATAACGCTAAATAAACGAAATAAAATCTGAAAGAAAATGAACGCTAGTTAGTAATTAATTTTACAATCCCGAGATAACACGAAAGAGAAACAGCAGATGAATGCAGAAAAGAGACAATATAAATTCAACCTAGTTTGCCCTCGATGTCTCCGGGTAAGGTCAGCCAGAAGCAAACACGAAGTATTCTTTCAAAACTTGCTCGTTTAAGAAATTCTTGTCTACGGGGCAATTTCGTTTCGGTGCACCGAGATTTGCCGAGAAGAAAAAAAGGAAAACTACGAAAGGAGCCATCGGAGAACGAACGCGCTAAATGAGTCCCTCGAGGGTGCGGAGAAACGTACGAAGTGTCAGGCGTTTGGGAGTCGATTCTCAGGTTAGCTGGCACGTGCACGCTCCGTTCGAGGTAGGCACACTAGCGCGCTCTGCAGATGCGCGCGCACACGGACGAGCTAAGGATATGGCGTGTAGGTCCGAGCAGACTGACTGTAAGTCGCAGAGAGACAAGGCGACAACTAGCTAGAGGTTACACTCCTTGACGTACTCACCTCCAGGGAGCTGACCCCGTCCGTCCCGACCAAGCTGCATTAAACCCTGCCGGATGTCCCTTAGTATCTGAAACAGGACAATAACGAGGGCGTGAATGAACCTCCATTCGACTACGTGATTAGGATGTACATTAATTTAGCACAGCAGGCATCGCGCCGATACTGCTTAAGACTTCGTTGAATTTAGCTAGCTAATTATTTAATTGTTCAGTGATTGGTTCATTTTTTAGTGAACCACTGACGATTATTTATAAAACAGATTATTAATTAGGATAATCAATTGGAAAATTAATTCGAAAAATTTTAGAATATCAATTGATGAATTTTGTGAGATTGTTCGTAGACAAACTAGTTTTTGAAGAAATATTTTATACGCTGTAATATATATTATTTACCGTTATTATTAAAATTTATTGCAAATATGATATGTATAATATACCCTGGGTATATGTTGTATGAAAATTTGTTTATATAAGAGTTAAATGTTATATTGTTTATATCAAAATATTTTTATGCTACGTGGAATAAATTTATGGAATAAATTATTGGAATAAATAAAAAGCTAGAAAATTATATAATTGTTCAGTGATTGGTTCATTTTTAAACGTACCACTCACGAATATTTATAAAATAGATTATTAATTAGGATAATCAATTCGAAAATTAATTTCAAAAATATTAGAATATCAATTGATGAATTTTGTGAGATTTTTCGTAGACAAACTGGTTTTTGAAGAAATATTTAACACGCTGTAATATATATTATTTACAGTTATATATAACATATACTGCTGATATGTATAATGTATACTTGAGTATATGTAGTCTGAAAACTTGTTTATATAAGAGTTAAATGTTATATTGTTTATATCAAAATATTTTTATGATAATGTTTAATAAATATTTCAAGAAATCAATTATTAGGTTCAGGAGTAATAAAAACTAATACTTTTTCACACAGAAGTTAATATTCTTCAATATCTTGATATTATGTCATCTTCATAAATTATTCGAAGTATGGAAATTGCATGGAACACCCTGTATATACGTAATAATATAACATAAAATATTTAATATGTATACATGCATTGTTTTGACTAAAAGTTATATTGGACTTGTGAAAATATATTCTCCTCCACAGCATGTAATAATATCTTATATAAATATTGAATGTCATATTTTTCTTACTGTCCCTATTATAAATGAATACAACAATGTTGTGATAACTACTATGTTCATAGCAAACAAGTGTACTATATATAATATTTTAATTAGAATAAAAGTCTTAAAATCTAGAAATTGTATTTTATAGAAATAACACTTCAGCACTTCTACGAATATCGATCATGTGGATTGTTAGGTACTGGGTATCTCATTATCAACAGCAGTGAACGTGTCATAAACCCAGGACAGAGCACATCGCCAATCAATGTACACAGTACTACTTCTCTTTAAGTGTGACTTCCTCATTGACCTGCATCTCTTTACACGTTGCCCCTTGAGACATCTAGATGACCTCTTAGTCTCAGAAGTGTCATCCAACGCCACTAATGCATCGACTAAACCAACATCTATTTACTATTTGTATTTAAATAAAAGTTAGAGAGTTGGATGTCTGGAATCAACCTAACTGCGACACTGTATCTGTTACATGTTTAGACGAAAGTTAGAGAAAGTCAAATCCAACTGTTCTAGATTTAGCACTGACTTCGATAGTTGAATTTACACTTCGAGCTTTTACACTAATCAACCTAAGGGTAACTGATTAGGAATTAGGAATAGCCTAAAAATTTTGAGGCTGGCCAAGTTTAAAGGATAACAAAAATACATTTCTTTCCTTAACCACTTCGGTACGAGCATTGACTATAGTCGACAGCCAGAGATGAACGCGAACAGCCTATCGTCGACTTTAGGTGACAGTTAAGCCTTGGAATGTCGTCCCGGTATTTCGTTCGGCCCTTTGTTTAGAATAGACCGTGTGAAGGCTCTGAAAGTTCTCAAGTACCATTGATGAGGCCCTAGGACCGCAATGTCCCAAGTAGAAGGTTGTTTATATCCTTACTGTCAGCGCCCTTTGATTTCTTTAGCACCTAAGCCACCACTTAGGTAATCCGCAACAAACAACTATATATCACCCTTCAAGAAGACAAGCACAATTATCTAGATTGTTTAAACAACCACCACCACCGAAGGACGCTGAAGTTAACATACACCCCCAACATCATAGCAACCAATCAGCAGAGAGACCAGGATTATATAACCACCGAGAGAGTCAGTACCAGTCAGTCAGTCAATAACATTTGAAGAGTTCAGAAGAGTTATCCGAAACAACTACATAAAATACAGTCCACAATAAACACAACGTTCCTCAAGAAATTTGGTTCGTCATTAACCGTCGCCAATTGAGGACGACCTATTGACGATATACAGTGACGGTCAAGAACTTTTACTTTGGTTCTGCATTAACCCCTTGACTACGACAGATTTTGATACGCAACGGCCGTACCATAGGGCAAGAACTGAGTTACGATATGCGCCATTTTGTGAAAACAAGCGCCCTCCGTGTCAGGAAGTGAAACTAAGCCGAGCGCCTATAGACGCCCTCCGTGTCACAAATGCAAAATTTCTAAGCGCCTATTGGCGACCTCCGTGTCACAAACGCAAAATTTCTAAGCGCCTATGGGCGCTCACAGTAGCCTAGGTGTTAACCACTTGCGTTGGAAAGACGTGCCACGCACGTTTTAATGCTTTTGTTGCAGAATCGCCAACCACGTGGTATACACGTCGTCGAGCAATTGTCACAGAAACGCTGGATCGTTCAGACACACGCGTTTGTGAATTTCTTGCCAGCGTAAATGGTGAAATTTTCTAATTTCTCATTTACCAAAATAAAATTGTGAACGTTTAGAAATATCGTAATACAAACATATGCTCTGCAGATTTACATTACAAGTAAAGCTGCTTGTAATGTAAACAAGCTTTCAGTGCTTCAAAAATTTCCTCATCACAGATCTGTAAAAGAGCAAAACGGATTCGTCGTCAATACACAGCAGAATGAATCGTGCACACTATGAGTGCTGACTGTAAGCAAGGTTTCGTGGCCAGTAAGCGCAGTACCAGAGTGGTTAAGATGTCTCCTCGCCAGAAAATATGAAAGAATAGCTAATTATACTAATATTATTCCTAATTATACCAATCTCTTTTTATCTTGATACATTTTCTCGTATCCTTTATTTTATTCACCTAATATACTTGTAAATGTGATTGACTTAGCTAGCTAACAGTAAAAATTCGTGTGAATAAAGACTGCACTAATACTCTATAACTAACCAGTCTAGCTAAGTTATCTTTACAGGTTACCTCTCAACAAACCCTCATAAATAATGATCTAGCTCATCAGAAACTAGTCCATCAAGATCTAACAACAATTCAACCTCCAAATACCTCATCTGTTTGAGTTTGCTGTTTAACAAGTATATATTTATTACGAATTATAATACACACACGGCAGAAAAAGATTACAACGATTAGGTATGTGTGGTGAATTTTCTCTTAATGCTATTATTATCTCGTCACTGTTCACCTTCACGCTTTTCATAACAAACTGACTCTCACACATATTGGCTCTAACCTATAACAATTGCACAATACCACGCATTCTAGATCTTTCATTCGCACTTCCAAAAATATACATGTCTACATTCGTGCCATCACTGGACCTAACGCATTCGCACTAATAGAACCAAATCCACAATCTGTTCCAAAACCTCTTTCTCAGAATAACAGCAGCAAAGATGACATTAACACGTTGACTGCCATGAGGGCCACCAGTGACCGGCGACGCGACCATTAGTAAAAATACATAATTAGAGTAAATATCGATACTGATAAATTTTTAAATAGTACCATTGTTACTATAATGGTTCGAAGAAATTAATGCCATACAGAACATGCGAAAATAATTTTATTTATACAAAAAAAAGGTGAACCAAAACAGTCGGCACAATATGTCGCCACTTTTTTAGTGCAATTCTTTGCTCTCATTCTTCCTAGCTGATTTGAATTATTTTCATAGCACGCTTTGCAAAATCGCCTTACATTTCGCACGCTTCCAGGTTTCTTTTTAAATTCGTGACGACGTTTTTTCTGTACGTAATTGCTCGATGAAATGCAATCTTCGTCATCGGAACATTTCACTAAATACATCGCTAACTTCATCCTAAAATCGGGAATTGAAATATTTTTTCGAGTTGCTTTTTAAACAATTGATAATGGCAAAAATGGTCTACAGCGCCGCGGGGGTCACCGGTGACCCCCACCACGAAAAATACATTAAACGCGATTATACAACTCACCTTATCTGTTGTAAATAATATTTCAACATAATATGCATCGCATAATAAAATATTCGTGTTGACGTCATGGGCAAACCATGTAAAATGCGCGTGGCAGTCAACGTGTTAAAACACACAAGTGGTACAAGATTCTTTGTCACTTGATACGCTCATAAATGTGATCATCTTGACCAGCAATGAGAATACGTGTGAACAAAAGACTGGAATATTACTCTTCTGTCAATCAGACAGCTGTTGGAACCCGGACTTTTACAATACGGGTTCTAGCAACAAGGCTACGTTGGAAAAATACAAGTCGCCGGAGAAGAAAAAACTAAACTGATCTTTCGCAAATTTTGTGGGTGCTTATATAATGTTAGTTTTTGCGTTTATCAGCCAGGCCCTTCTAGTGACTAAGGGCCAACGAATCGTTAGTTATCCAACACAGCCTAGCCAAATCATCTTTCCACGCTACCTCTCAACGTATCCTCAGAAATAGGGCTGTAGTTCATCAGAAACTAGTCCATCAAGATTCAATACCAAGTCATTCACAAGCAAACGATACCCTAATACCCTACCTATTCCAACACCTTTTCCTCGGAATAGCAGGGGAAGAGAGGTCAATTAGACGAAGAAGTGGCGCAAAATACACGCTGGAGACTGGAATTTACGTGGCTGAAACGTATCAATCACGCGGATACTGTTGGAATAAGGAAAGAATCAGGAAGCTGAA